CACGCGTCCTCGAGAGGACGGAGCATTGTCCGCACACGACGACCGATCACCGATGGCCAATCGTTCCTTCCTACTTTGCCAAAAGGTGGCTTAATAATAGCGTCTTCCCTAGTCTATCTATCCTAACGATATCACTTCCTCCCGCCATTTCAAACCACTTCCAGTTTCCCAGCACAGCTACCGTCTTCTAACGGGCGGGGGGGGCATGATACTAGGGGGTATGTAGTACTGGATATGTCACAATATGATTGGTGTTTTCTAGGGGACTGCTGGTGTACAGAGGCTTGAGGTTGGATGTCAATGGTAGAGTACCATTCGGGGTCTCGCTGTACAGAGAGACACTGCTGAGCTGCGGCATTATGTTAGGGAAGGAAACTTGGATTCTGGATGAGAGAGGGAAGCGACCCCGGTCGGTGTCGCCCCCTCGTTATTTGCCAGTGAGTTCCAGACTTGGTGCAAAACAATAATAAAATGTCACGTCGGAAAAATACAATTATCGACCCGGTTTTTTGTCTGTAGACCACCCCAATTTGTCGACCACCTCAAGTAACTGTTAAGGAGCGTGACTGTTGGCATGAAAAGGGTGTACCTTTTCGAATATAGGATGTGGGATGGTCAGGACGTAAACCTCCTTGGTACCCATACCACATCACAATTGTCTACTCTGCGTGATGCCCCCTGAGATTAAGTTGGATCCCCTTTTCATCCATTAATAATAATAATAGACCTTCTCTCAGCAACAAGCAACTTTCCCCTCCTTCACGATCGATCGTGGGAGCGTCAAGCGACATTTACCTTTCTTTTCCTCTCCCTACGACCAAGCTACCATCTACGGCTTGTGCGCCTTCATATAACCCAGTGACTGACTTAGAGGTGCTGGCTACCGCCCCCCCAGCTGGACCAGGGGGTTCGGTAGCTGAGATAGACCGGGAGAGTCAACGGTGCGCGCGGAAATACCTCACCCCGTAAGTGGCTTCGACAAGTAAGAAAGGAAGGATGCCGAGACACACAAACACTTTCTTGTCGGTTCCCTATGAAACATACAATGGCAAACATACAACCGGCAGCGGGAAGGCCCACAAAGGCTGCGTAGATACGCATGTATGCCCCCCACTGCTCCCCTATAATACGCCGTGAATAAGGCCTTCTCACTCTGGCGCTGCCGTTGAGTATTACACCCAATGGTTGTCCTGTTTATAGCCTGTCTCCAGCACACACACGCACATAAGCTCCGGCCAGGAACGGTGTTTTGTCAATCCGCTAAGGTGCACACACGAACGTTCCTGACCAGAAAACAACGCCTGCTCTGGTAACCACTTGTGCAACCATTTGTGCACAATAACATCCATCAGGTTCGCGTTATACTTCCGACACCATGCGGGAATCCTCTTCGGAAACGTCTTTCTGTTATAATACTTCTGGGAAAGAGAGCAGAAAATGCAGGGTCGGTCGTAAATCTTCAGTCCTCGAAACTGTAGGATATCAGGTGTGTCGGCCTGGCGGCGGCATCGTCGTACACCACGACCTCGTCAAAGTTCAGCGACCCCCCCTGCTCTTTGGTCTGGATAGACAAAATGTAGAGGGAAATGGAGGGGCGGGGGAACCGTAGCATGCAGTTGCATGTATTTGCAGTCAGTGTGCACGTATGTCCACGACCAATATCGCAACTAAAGCAAAATTTATCATCGGCGTTTCAGCAATTCGAGGAGACCCTTTACCCTACCGTGCTTTATTCCTACCGAAATTGCTACGGGGGGAAGAAAGCCAAATTTTCGGCACGAGCACGTAAAGGATACATGCACATCGTGTCCGGACTCTTCGCGCCTTCAATCCCATGACAATGAACAGGCATCATCCATGTATTTGTGCACATCCGTACGACTTGTGCCGTGTCTCGCGGCGTACACTGTAGCTGGCCGCCTGAGTGCTCGTCTTGCTAAATGCCCGTGAGCTGGTTGCTGCTAAAAACAAGATACGTGGACGATTCGTCGTTCTTGGGCGATTCTCTCACCAGCCCTTCCGTAGAGTCATACCCAGGCACTGGGCAGGATTGCTCGTGAAGATTGTGGGTCTTGGCCTGGAATGCTCTTCCTAAGGAGACTTTACACACCAGCATCACGTGGTGACGTTGTAGCCCCAAGTTTACCTGCCCACGGGCAAAACGGGTGCACGATAGCCAATCGTACGGTCAGATGTCGGCAGAAAACTCAAGTGGCAGCTGCAGGTCTCTTTTTGCGAAAAACTCAAGTTGTGTAGGTCCACTGGTGGTGACGGTAGGCGAGAAAATTGTTTCAAGTGGTGAGCAGAACAAGTGTTGGACGACATTGATCGCGACGGCAGACCCATGTAGACTAGAAAATGTGTCCGAGTTGCGGGATGGGTCCTCTCGAAAACTAAACGGTGGCTGGTTCAAACCTGTAGTACTATTTCTCCCGTGCACCTGATATTAGATGTACGAACGAAGTGGACCATTTTCGAGCATTAGGAACCAAGCCATCCGACATTCAACTGGCTCAACCGCGCACCCAAGCTCTACTCCTAGCAACTCCGTCACACACACAAGCACACGCACACAAAAGCACACACCCTGGTTCTGGAGTAGTCGTTCGCCTTGCCCGAAGTCTTCGAGAAATATAGTCCGTTGCCATATCTCAACTGAAAACTGGAGGAGCGCGCGGTTCTCCCCACTTTCTCCATCGTGAAGCCTTTCATGCAAATAGTGCAGACGCTGCACGTCCGACGGCCGCACGGCCCTACCTGCGGCGGTGCAGGGAATGTTTTTGGCGCTCACACCATCGCCCCTCTCACAAGAATGGAAGACATTGCTGAAATTTTTGTAGGATCCACAGTTCCAAACATGAGAAACCGAGCCTCGAAACGAATTGTAGTTTCCTGTAAGGGGACCGGTGCTGTATCAGCCAGTGAGGTGGGCGGTACTGTACTGACCATGTTTTAGTTGGATTTACTTTGTACGGCTCTAGCGACAAAATAATATCACAAGGGGAGGTACTGAACACCGGCGAGCAAGGTACAATGGATGGCAAAGAAGGCAAGCGCTAAAAGAGATCGAACTTTGAAGGGATGCATGTATTCAGAGACACAGAGATTTCAAAGACCCGTTGATGCCACTGCAAGGATCAAGCGTGTACACCATCTTGAATTCCCAACAAGTCAACATCCAAACTTGTCACTAGCCAATATCACATGGTACCCCGACGGCAGAACGAGTGATCGCACCTGTTCCTTAACGAAAAAATCACATGCTGAGTGACAACGCGTGCCGTGGTACGCGACGCAGACTTCTCCCTTGGAGGTGTGGTAGGCCTCAATCTTCCTTGCAAGATCATCGTTTAACTGGTTCGTTCGGTGTTGGGCGAGGGAAATGGTTAGCGTATGTTTACATCAAAATCCACATAGATTATGACCAGCGATCAATAAAGCATACAAGTACCGGACTTCTCCCTGCCATGGAATTCTGCGGGTCACCGGTAGTGCGCCTCTCTAACCGAAACAGAGAGGTGGGGTAATTTTAACTTCCACAGGGAGAGACAATGACGAAACTCTTCGCGTGTAAGACCACGGCGAAAAACCATGGGTGTTCGTGTATGAACAGACGCCATTTGGCAAGGACCCGCACCCCCAGCAAGAACGCGAAGCCAATGCTGTTACCTGGATCTCGTAGATTCTCGCAACGTCGGGTGCTGGGCCTTTCTTCCAGCACTCCCGGAACTGGTTGGCGAGAACTTCGAAGTCCGGGTGGTCAGAAGCAAGCCTCAATAGAGTGAACTCCGTCATGGCCTTGGGGTGCCATACTCTGAACCCTGCGATGACATGATCCTGATCGCCGTCCGATGCCTTTGTCTCCTGCCCCATCTCTATCGCTGCCCAGTACGGCGCATGGTTGGTGTACGCATGTACTCCTCGGGAACGTACCGTGAAGCCCACGACACCTCCGTTGCGCGTGCCAGCACAATAGGATAGTAAAACCACGCAGCCCTGCAAAAATGAGACGTTTACACGTGCAGGTAAAAGAGCAACTTGCTGTAGAGGGCTGGGCTTACAAAATAAAAATGTTGTAATCTTCTCCCATTTGTGCGCGTCCATCACACGGCGGTGCGTGTGTGTGATCGTGCGGTACATACGTACGGATAGCCATGGGTGTCCTCCAATTGTCTGCATGTGGATGCATGTTGCAGGACCACAAACGGAAAAGCGACATACTGTACACACGCTGGGCAAGTTCCTTGGTTTCAGGACGGAGATCCACGGGTTGAAGTGCCTTGTCAAACACCATGACCCGCTGAATCGCACCGCGTAAACTTTGTACTCGGAGTATGAATTGTTTCTAAATAGACTATTTTATTTAAAAGGCAGTGGTACCGCCTCTATCCTTGACCTATAACGGTACGAACAAGTTAACGGTGGACACACAATGTGATTTTCTCGCATATTTACATAGTGATAGTCCACCTCCCTGTGGTTAACAGTCTCAACAAGGATTGGGAAAATTATAATGCTGTGCTTCATGCGCACTGGTGTGATATGCATTCGAGCAAAAGGTGACGCGGCCCAATCGCAGTAGCGTTGCGAGATGTTGCCACGAAACGTAAGGCACGACCACCACCTCCCCTCCAGCTCTACCGCTTGGCGGTTCGTCACCTGAACAGCTGCCATGAGTGAGGTGAAGAGCGCAAAACCGAGCGTGGGTCCGTATGGAATCGCGTGGAAGTCTTTGGGGCGTAGCGAGCGGCGAACATGACCATCCCCGACGAGCAGCACCGAACAGAAGGACGACGGCGTGAACAATGAATGAGCTCGTAAAATATGAGATCCCTCTGCGGTCGGGTACACGAACGAGTTAACTACATTCGTTTTTGGTAATCAAAATTCACAAACGGAACGGGCTTATCGAATGCCTTACCAACCTCGCTCTTGGTCACAAAGGAACCCACCCCGTATCTACATCCGGTTCCCAGGCGGCGTTTTCTGGCAATGTCAGGTACCTTTCGATGTTTGAAGACTGCTTACGTACGCTTTCACGTTTACGGAGATCAGGAAAACTTCTGCCGGGGTGCCAACAGCGCACGGGCGGGCAAAAAAAGCCACAACCGTCGGGGAGAAAATGCATCTGCTCACATCGATTCCGAATCCCTGACATTATGCAGAGAACGACGAGCTGCGTCAAGGCGTACAGCACGAGCAACCACCCTCCCAACCAGCCCAGGTTGGTCGACGTTTTCGTTGGAGCAACGGCAGACCCCACGAGCATCGCGAAAGCGAGAGAACAGCAACAGGTAGCGAAGATCTGCAAGTCGACGGCAGATTTGTCTGACAAAAAGGCGTTCACGCCAGAAGGAGAACGCGGTGCGTGACGGATAGGTAGGTGCTGAGTTACGACGCGCGGAGTTCCGAGCGTGCAAGCATATCTCGGAGAAAGGCTCTCTTGCGTGGATGCGGTGTTCGTTTCCGTGTGACGCAAGCGTGTTGTGGCGCAGATTAGCTCCTCAACTTATAATGTTTGTGTTGTTAGCGCGTAATGGGCGCATCATGCGACGGGGGAATGTATACCACTCACATGTTTCGCAATGCTCCTCGTCGCTGTTCGTGCAGGAGTCTAACTTGCCTCTGTCACGAAGCCAACCATCGTCGGCAGCAATGATCACGGAAAATAAGAACGTAATCATCGAGCTGGCTGCTGTCGTCCAATAGTGAACCGATTGGAACCCGTTCTGCTGAGGCCCGAAACGAGCCTGCAAGAACCATTCGGCGAGGGAGGAGGGGTCGCGGGAGTGGGACGGACCGAGTTTGGTAGAACATTCTTGGCTCCAGCAACTGCATGTACGTGATCGCGAGATCCCTTGTGAACAGTGAAAGCTTCCCTACAAAACTATGATCCTGGCCTTTGTTTCCACTCACAAAGATCGGGCCATGGATGCGGCACTGTGGGTGCCACCAGAAGATGCCGAACGCCTGTGCAGCAGCAACGAAGACGCTCGTCACGGCAACGGCGAAGGTGTCGCCGTAGGGGTCGTCCTTTAAGTCTGGCAACGTGTTGGACGGACAGAGAAAAAACAACGCAAGTGCTGGAAACGAGACGACACACTGCATATTATCTCAACCGTGCAACGATTCACCTCGGCGCGCACGCGATCGCGACGCTAGACGCGGCCTGCGGTGCTTTTGTTCTCTCGGGCGAGCCTCACGGTCAGAACGCTGTCGACGTGGCGCCTTGCGACGCCCGTTTCCGAAAATATATCATATATCACAAGATTAATCAATCAATACTACGGCCGTCCGGTGATACAGGTATTTCGTGTTCGGTCAGGTGGGTGGGGCTGTGCCGCATGCTCATGCCTCCAAAAGCGAAAACATATCTACAGTACGTGTCAACGACGACCTCGAAACGTTTGGAAACGACACCCAAATGAACCAAAAGCGGTAAAAGCATCCTAGCCAAGCGGACTCGCCTCTAACGCTTGATGGAGGTCTCTTCTTTCGCACCAAGCGGTCACACCCCGCGATTGTCGTCAACACGTTCGAAAATGGGATCGGTGCACCTCATGTACACCGAAATACCGGGAAAGTTTTACCACAGAAGGAGCACCTTGCATCGCGGAATGCACACGATCGGTATTGCCTTCGTCTGTGGTCTTCTTGGTCGTGTCGTTTGTAACATTTTTGAACAAGTATCAGGGCAGTTGTGGCGGAGGGACACTACTGTGGGCCTTTTAAAACGCGGGGCCAGAAACTCTTTCCAACGTCACATTCTCACATTCCTCCTTGATACCCGCCACGACGGCGAACGCCAGCAACTGCGTAGCGGCGTAACACAGGAGCCCCCAGGCTCCGGTCTTCACGAGCTCTTGGCGTTGAAGGGCATCAGGCACGAGAGGTCCGGCAGGCCGTTCGATTATGGTAGCCAGCGCCAGTGCTACCACCGCACATGAACAAACCACGGTGGCCAGATACTGGATCAAGGTGGCGATATAGTCTGGTGGCAGGGGTTCCAATGATGCCGAACGACGGCAGGGCGGGGAAAACGATGAGATGGCGTGGAAATGAGATGTTTGTGATCTCCTCGTGCAGAGGGGAGGAGAGAGTGAACGGCCAATGCCTTGGGTTAGGTCGAGCGTGCAAGCCGAGGGAATATATAGCTGTCGATCGTACCATACCCCCTACGACACGACAAATATGTGTGGTGCAACGGGTTCGTAAAAGGGGACACATTGCCATCATCTTATTCTTGCCTTACGTGAGCGATACCGCAGAGAGACCAATGTCATTTTGTGAGGTTTAGCCTTCAGCTTTGTCGCGGTTTGAGTTGGTCTTGTTAGGCAGCAATTTGTACTGTCATGTGCTCCAGCTTGTGTTGCATGTGAACACCTCCTCTACAAAACCCTAGAGCGATGTACCATACGTCAATATCATCTCAGGACCCACGCCAACGACCGCAACAGAGAAAAAAGTGCTACTGCATACAATAATCTCAAAACCACGTTCAATTTGAGCCAGTCGTACATCCAGGGCAGAAGTCGTCGCTCGAGTAGTCTCCGCAAGTCCCGCCCAATGCGAGGTCCACCGAAGATCCGACCCATTGGTTGCCAGCTGCCCCCTCAATCGCAAACGGCCACGTGATGAGCAACGCGCTGGCGATTACGGCGTGATACGCGTTGTATACAGTGCAGTATCGCCCCTGTTGCAGACCGAAAGGGGGGGGGGTTCTTGTCAAACAAACGGGAGCATCATACGTAAGCGGGTCACGGTCCCTGGGCCGTGCGTACACTTTTTCCCATGATACAGCTCTGCACGGCTCAAAAATCGTGTGGGAGGCACCCGTTCCAGAGGAGTGCAGCGCCTTGGCAAAATAAAAAATGCAGTACGTACCACGGGGCATACGGCGACACTCACAAAATCATGGGCAGTATTCTCGTTGTGGAAGATGCCGCCGTTGAATGTGCCGTGGTCGCGAAGTAGCGACAAGGCGATCGCCTGCAACATCACGAACACGGTGGCCGTGATGGCACAGTTGTACGCGTCGCCACGGCTTACTGCCGGTAAATCTGCAAGTTTCCACGATTCGTTTGAACGTGCTGGGATGTTAAAGTGCACCCCTTCAGTGTGTTTATGCTCCGAATTGTTTTGGGCACGGGCTAAAACTCGACGTCCACACAGTCCGCGGCGTCGTCACCACTGGCAGCCATACGCCAGCGATAGACAAGCGATCAGAACGTCTACATACTTGTCAATCGCACTTGGAAGCGGTGGGGGTGTTGCTACGGCAAGATGTTGTTAGAGTGGTTCCTCGCCGCAGCGAAGTCTTCGAGACAAGTTTCTGCAAGCCAGCCGTCCAAAGGCTACTTTCTTCGCGCAGACGTTCAGCAGTAATCGAGAAACTCACCGCGATTCCTTAGGTCCGTCATCACGATGAACACAAGAAACTCCGCCACGGTGAACACCAGCAACCCCCACACGCCGGCCCTGCCGAGCTCACGCGACGAGATCAGGCTGCTTCGCCAAGGTGGCGGTTGCCCCGCACCCCTCGCCCCTTCGACCGGGGAGTGGCTTTCGCCCCCGTAGCCTTTTGCGAAGGCTGAAAGAGCGAGGAGCAAAACCGCCACCGAGCACGCCAGCGTTGCGATGTATTGGAATGCGGTTGCAGTCGCGTCTGCGATGTGACGGGAGACAAACGGCAAGTTTTTAGGTTCGGTTTGCTCTTGGCAATGTGAACTATTCGATGAGAGCTGCACTGAACAAATATTATTCCCGCAATGGCCTTAATTTCTGGCGGTCGACACGTCGAGCCAGACGTTGCGTCAGCTCTTCGAAATATTCCATGCCTTTCACACCCTTTCGTCAACCGCAAGTGTAGCATAGAAGCCGCAGAGCGATCGTCCCTTTCACATGTATGGTACCGTTTCTATGCCCCCCGTCACCATTTTAAAGAATTCGCACCACTTTTCGTCGAAGCTACAGTAGTAAACAACGAGGGAGCCGAACACCCTCATTCATAACCCAAAGCATCGCAATGTCGGGCATTTTGTCCCAGAATGGAAGTAGGCCGTTTTCTGTCGTCGACACTTGTGTTCAATTTTCCACATTTGTTGGGTCGTTTCGAATTGCACACGCAGCTAATGCATAGTTGTTGGCCCCGCACTGGGGAGCGGCGTGACTCCTCGTTTCCTCGTTTCAACAATACGAACTGATGCAGGTTGGTCGGGCTGTTTTGCGTGAGCGGCACTCACACCGGGCGCAGAAGCCGCCGCCGCCGTAGCACTCGTCCCCAAGACTGAAGTTGCCCCCTTGAAACCATGTGTCCGCAGCCGCCGCCACGACGGCAAGTATCCAGGTTAACACAGTGCTAAGCACCACCCACCAATACACCTAATATCGCGAGTTGCGTGATGAGGTTCGAAGGACAAAATGCACAGGGTAGCAGGCGATGCCGAGGGCCGGATGACGCGTTGTGTTTCGCGCTGGTATCCGCTTTCTGCATCACTCTTGTATTGTCCATGGCCGAGAGGCACACACAGGTGTTCCAGGAGACCGTAACGATATGAGCTACATACCAACGGTAGCGTACATGCGACTCACTAACGAGCACCCAACGCCGTCAGTGGTTGTTGCCGACATGTGTTTTAAGGTCTAATTTCCCTCAGACTCTACTTTATCGACACCTTCTGTTTGGACGGTGTGATGGTAAAGGCGGCGGCTGCTACTACTGACAAGAAGTGCCGTTCATGCCCCACAGGGGCCACTCTTGGAAAAGGTGCGCCACAGCAGCATCCAGGAACCATTGTCGAAGCTACACAGTAGCTCGCCACCACGAGGCAGTGTATTACGGCGAAGGGCATGATCAAGTTTTCCTGGGTGAGGTGAATCACTTACTTCCGATCGTATGATATTCGGGGGACAAGGAAGATAGGCCTCAAATTTGAGTCGCTTCTACTCAGGGCGCCGTTGTCCGATATGAAACGGCGCAATTACAACAACAACACCAACAACACCTGCAACGAGAGCTAGGTTGCAGCCTAACCAGGTGAAAATCCTGCTAGCTGTGTACGTACATGTCGACTCTACCTATGAATGTGGCGTGCACCGTGTGGTGTGTGTCTTGTGCATACCTGGTCCTTCCAAGGGTCGTAGTCGTCTACCCGCATCGCCCTCTGCGCCCGTACAAAACAATCTCGGCCGATCTCAAGTGCAGCGAGTGCCGATGTACAACGTGAAACGAGGGGAATCCACCTCCTATTCGACGACGAAGGAGCTGAAACAGTTTCCTACGTGAGAAATAATCCCAACCCTGTAACACAGCGAAAGGGGACGCGGCACGTGCAAGCGCATCGGGGTAGGGGGTTGAGAAGGGCGGGTCAGCGGGGGGCGGATACATCATCTCTCAGGGTCAAGAGTAAGAATTGCAAACGGTGGCGGAAACCTGTTGCAGTAGAAGCATGACAAAACCTAAGACCCGCAACGAGCACGTCTTGTGTAAAAAAATGAAATAATTACATAGGGCCGCGGCTTCGCTGGGGAGCCTTGACAAGTGTACCGTCGAGAGAGCTAACCCATTCAGGTGCCAGGCCGAGTAAGCGAACCACGGAAATTGGTGCTGGCTGCCGACGCCATCGCGTCCTATTTACTTCCTCCGCACGTTGTTAGACTATGTTGATTTGTGGTATTACTGTCCTTACATACGCACAATATCACCACTTTTTTTTAGTTCGCCACCGACAACGCAGAGAGAGAGAGAGAGAGAGAGAGAGAGAGAGAGAGAGAGAGAGAGAGAGAGAGAGAGAGAGTTGTTTTAGAGTCACAACGATCACAATCATACTAGATAAATAAAACCACAAAATAAAAACAAATCAATCAACACCCGGACACCCTAACCCTCAGATATATGGATGACTATCACGCTCTTCCGAGGACCTGTACGTCTGTCTGCGGGTCATCGTATTTCATACATCGTGTCTGTCTGCGAATGAATCACGATGTTGGGGCGGTACAGACTAGCCTAGATGAGTAGCTCGAGCTTGGAAACACAACAACCCTTCCCTTGGAAGCCGGTCGCCCCGGTGGTCCATCTAGTAGTAACGACCTCGAAACCGCTTGCGGCAAAGTCGTGAGTTCGAATCCCTAGACTAGTCTATGGGGTGAAAAAATTATAAATTTGCGGGTGAAAGCGAAAAAGCTATAAGATCTTGAGTACCACCCTTCGACCTTAGCACCGTTGACGAGGGAAAGGGACGGCTGGACCTTCTCGCAATAACAAAATAAATTCAGCACGCACCGCAGGAGGATACACGAAGGGAATGTACATGTACAGATGTAACAGCTGTCAGTCGCCTATTTTCGGTACCTACGGTGGCGGGCTATCAAGCCGCCACATCACGGTATATCTGCCTTTTGCCTTTGAGAAACTGTATGTACAAGTGTGTAGTCTGCATGTGTGTACTATGGTAGAAGTACATGATACTTGTTGTTGAACTTGGTTGAACCCGCAGTTTCTACGCTATTTTACATTTGCATACAATTGTACTAAACAGTGTACTGTAAATGAGTACTGTAGACTACTACAGTATGCATATATATGTGCACGAGATCTTCAGTAGGAACGTAGGAACCTCATGGCCGACCATGGCGACAAAAGCACCCATGGGTGATGGGAATGGACTGTAATAGGCGATAGAAGGATGTACACCTTGCTTACTTGCTGCGATGCTGCACCCAAGCTGTGTTTTTGTGTTTTTCAGTTCAGGACTGGGGGCTGCACACGGATGATACGGTTGTTGTTGTTGTCTTCGTCTTCAAATAAAACCTGCTGTGACACATCACTGCACCAACAAAAATCCGCACGACCGCGTGCACTCTCTCCTTTTTCTGTCAAGATCAAGTCGTACATATGTAGAGTTGGCTCACCCCTCTCTCGCTCTCCCTCCCTCCCCCCCGTCTCTCTCACTCTCTCTCTCTCTCCCTCTCTGCACCTGCAACTTCCACAGCAGTTTGTATGCATAACAAGCGCGTCGGCTCACCTTTCTCTCCCTCTCTCTCCCCACCAACCCGCCTCCGCGTCTCTCTCTCTTCCTCTGCACCTGCAACTTGTAACAGTTATCCGTGCACCGTTAGTGACATCGTCAGATGGTCAATCAGGCAACCAGGACACACATCCCGGTCGGGGCACATCACTACAACAACAGCAGCTTTGTAGAACGAAAGATTTATAATCCTTCCCCAGAATTTTCTGTGGGCTGAAACAAGACTTCGAACACCGGTTCCGGAAGGTTCCCGGGTCCGTTCCAAAAATGTGCCGGGGGGTCTGTTCCTTGCACATCAAAAGGAGGAACTACGCAACTACGCAGTACAGGAACCGACCCTGGGAAGAACGGACCTCCCGAGGAACCGTGGCATTATCGCATACAGCAGTTGACTTGGACCATGTGGAGTTCACGTCGCCCTGTGTGCGCGCTGTCGGCATGCAACGAGGCCGTGTACCAGGACCCCGTAACCGGCCAGGAACACGACTTCTGCGGAAGGACTCACGCCACTTTGTTCAAACAGCAGCAGCAGCAGCTCCAGCACCAGAAGGCGGCGACCTTCAGGCCGGACCGATATAAGCTGGTACCCACGGCCGTCCTTCGATCGGGCGCCGTGAGGAACAAGCACAAAAGCAACCCCAGGCCAAGCGGATCGCACACCTCTGCTGGGTATAACCATGGTCACCCGACCGCTGCTGCTGCCAATGGAGTAGTAGTAGTAGCGTTGCCACCTTCTGCGCAACAGACGCTTCCCATCACCCACCACACCCCGAAAGTGCCGCAAGCATTGAGGGTAACGGATACGATGGTGTTGTTCTGGAACCCGCCGTGTGTGTTCACGCAGTGGGAACCGGCCCTCTTTGAAGTTGATGGGGTGAGTTCAGACGCAGAGTATCGACACAAGCTAAATGAGCCCAGCTTCAATGTGTAACATTTCTTGTGCCAGGTCATGGGTTCGAGTCCCGCCGAACTGAGTTTTTTCTCACGTTCGTTGCTGGTACCTGGTACAGCAGTACATTGAAAAAAAACTCGTGAGGAACTAAATATACTTCGACTTCACTGTTGACGAGGGTGGGGAGGGCTGAACCTTGCTCGCGATAAAAATATCATGATGGGGTGTCCCACCTGCCCCCTCCTGTCGTCTAGCTAGTAGGTGAAGAGGAGGAGGCAGGAGACGAAAAAACACTCAAGTTCCATGAGGTACTCGGGACAAAAAAAAGAGCACCACCCGCTAGTTGAAGTGCTTACTGCAGGCGGCCGGAACAAAAATCTGTTTGTCTGTGTGTGTTTCATGCCATCTATTCTTTCGTTCGTGGGCGAACCAGCCGGGGTGACACAGGAGTGAGGTACATAATTTAGAGAGGATTTTTTTTCTTAGCCTTCCTTCTGCGGCGTTTGCCCTATTTTTTTATCGCGAGAAAGGTCCGGCCGTACTTACCTCGTTGACCGTGAAGTCAAACGTTGGGTGCCCACGACGAAATAATTATCGCCCTCCTCCTGCTGGGCATGATGATGTGAGAAAAAGTCCCAGTTCGTCACTTCATCAACACTCGAACTCTCAAAGATTTTCGAGGTTACCAACTGAACTGAGCCACCGGGGGCAACGGTATTTATCTGTAGAGGTTAACAATATTATTATTGTCGATGGAAAATCTACTTTAAACTCCCCCCTGCTAATGTACAATACTGCCTAGGCTACGGCTGCTGTTTGTAGAAATCATAATTCACCCAATTGCCGAAAAGCTTTCGTCTAAATTCCGCTTTAATTTCTGCTGTGTCTTCGAAAGGCATCCTCTCTCTGGTTAGCGTACAACTGTGGTAAACGCGACAGGAACCAATCGTCCATCCGGTAACCAATTTTCAGTGTATTAGAGAGAAATATTACCTTCCTCGTCCTCTTTTCCATCGTGCTGAGTCAGCTCACGTAACCCCCCCCTTCCGACAGGTCAAATACTGCAGCGCGGAGCAATACATGATGGCATGCAAGGCCAACGTTTTCGGCGATACCGACATTTGGAACAAAATCATGAGCACGAGCGACCCTGCACAACAGAAACGGCTGGGGAAAGAGGTCGCCAATTATGATCACGGCATTTGGAACCTGTGCAAGGTTCAGTTTGTGCTCACGGGAAACTACAGCAAGTTCACACAGAATCCCGGCATGTGCGACCAACTTCTTGCAACGGGAGACAAGGTGAGGAGATGGGTTGGTAATGCAGTCCGTGGTGTATATCTTCCGTTCTTGCTTGTTTTGTGCTTTCCACGCTGGTACATCGCGACGGTGCACGTTCAGGAGGGATGAGCTCACAGGCATTTGTAGGCCACTGAAAAATACAAAGAGTTTCTCCGTGTCCACTCCGAGGGAATCAATCACCCCATCGGTTCATCGGGTGCGTGCAAGGCGATGCTCACCGTCTTCTTGCGATATAAGTACAACCAGGAGAGCACTCGTCGCCAGAAAAAACTCAAACTCGTCTGGCAATGATGCTGGGGTGACATCAGAGATGAAAAGCGATTGGATTGAATGACAAACACGCATATGCAAATAACCTCGCATACGACGTGCCGCGTCTCCTCATCATATGGCTGCCCCACCCACTGGTTTGCAACCGACAAAACGAATGCCATCAACCGAAGTAGCTGCAGCAGCAAGTAACTTCAGTAGCCGCATACAAGAGTCATACTCCTCTCCAATTGAGAGGGAATTAAACTAAGAATCGCCTCGTCGGCCTTAGGGGCGCCACCTCTCATCCGGGGCAGCACGTTTGACAACATCCACCTGGTTTGGTGCGAAACCTTCGGACCGAGCTTCATTATTTATGAAAAATAGTCATGAAAAGGAAGGAATCCCCCCCCCCCGCACGGTTCAGCATCAGCATGCATGCTCAGCTCTTTGCCGGGCATTTTTGCTGTTTTTCCTGCGTCGTAAACCCTTGCATTCCTTTGCAGTTGTCCACGCTTGGGTATGGAGCAAGAGCTGCAATGCATCTTTAGCGTTCGGATAGCTCAGCCAGTTACGCCACCTGCACAGTTTTTCGAGTAGTAGGGTGGACTCGCGCCCGTAGTGACCCAGGGAAACGCCCAAACACGGTGAATTGATGCAAAGTTCGTCGTTGCCTACGTTGGCCTATCCTATTCAGCTTGTCCAGTTGAAGCGGTGCCAACCCATCAATGCCGTAATAACTAGCCTAGATCTGCACGCTGTTTGTATCTCTGCCACCCTGTCCCTTGCCTTCATCTACATCCGGGAGATGCTAGCGGAAGCTAGTCAGCATGACAAGGTATGGGGGATCGGCATGGACGCATTTGATCCCAACGTGGAACGTCACGAGTGCTGGCGTGGCCAAAACCTGCTGGGGAAGATTCTCATGTATGTGCGCAACAAGATCAGGTGGGAGCGCCCTGACCTCGCCAGCCGGCGCCAGGTGCAGGAGGCTGCTGCCGCTATGGAAGCGGAACATCGCCTTATCCCTTCAAACGGCCGTTTCGTATCGGCGGCTGGACCGGCCATGACAGCGGATTCCCTGGGTGCATTAAACATGACGGCGTTACAGACCCAGCTGCACTGTCCCGACATGGGATTGCGTGCGCCTGTGACCGCACCCCCCACTCTCGGAGAACCCGCACCCGAGGTATTCATCGCTGTTGCAGCGGTACAGCAAAACAAAGCCGACACGGACGCGAAGACGCCGAGCAAGAATTGACACGCCCTTGAGGCATCACGCGATCTCATGCCCAAAGGCATTTGGACAGACACCGCCTGGTTAATGGTTGAGTCATTTGTCGTAATAGGACGGCAAGCGAGCACGCCTGCCTGTTGTCATACGTGCAATCGGTAGAGCTTCCATTTGAAAAAGGTAAAAATTGTAGCTACGTAGGCAGAGCAGGCTTGGATTTATCTGCACGAATACGTGAATGTAATCAGGACCTGCACAGCTTCATTGGTACTTGGTAATTGACAGGAAGGGGTGACGGCTCTGGAGGTACAACCAAAGAGGCTGTGCGGTGTACACCAATGAGATATTTCTTTGGGTTAAGGAAACCATCAATCACCGGGCATTCGCAGCGCCGTCTCCTCGGATTCTAAGAATTTTGAGACCTGTGCGCAAGCGTTGCTTATCCGCGGCATAAAACTTTCCAAAGCCAAGAGTCCAGATACTTGATGATGCGGGAACTCGATGTATGTCCGGAAAAAAATGTACTAGCTGGGGGTAGCCCTTTTCAAGCTGTTGCACATTTTACGATATAGAAGTCAGTATACATTGTTGGATAATAATATAGACTGTCAGGGGTTGGTTCAAACGTGACACTCCTGACGGCGTCCTGAGCGTAGTACTTAGATAAGTCGCCGGAACTCAGGAAGCGGATGTGTGTGTGGATATCGAAATGCAACGTCAAAGAAGGGCTACCCAACTAAGACCGGCGGTGTGGGGCGCAACAGAACAACTCGCAGATATATATGCAGCGTAAATAGCGCCAAGTTATTATGGTGATCGCCTTCGCCTTTATTTCCAGCACCGCGGTCTCAACTTGAGCCTGGACGGGACCGATTGTCTGCACGTAGCATGTAGTACCTCGTCGATTGCGGAGGCGTCTGGGCTGTGCGACGGCTTGCGGCGTAATAACTCGTTGACTACCGAGTTGCCTTGGTTGTGCGATGGTCTTGCAGCGCGGCCCTATGCTGTGGCAACGCAATATTCGTTGTGCTCCAGGTTCATGCCAAGTGTGTGTGTTTTTTTACTAGCATCGACCACGCTGCTAAACGGTGACCAATGAAAAGATGTACGTCTAAGTGTGGAAAACACAAAGTGCTTCTACAGGCCACGATTTGCGACTCTGTGACCGAGCATCACGGGGGAGTCTACACTACTCTTCGGATTAAAGAAAGATATCGTAGCAATAACTGAAGAAGACTGCACGTGCTCGACACGCGGCTGCTACTACTTTGGGTGCGTGCGTTTTGCATTGTTTTTCATCGTCGTCCCTGCTTTCACTACCGCCACTCTCGTTGCCAGTATTCCCACTACTTTTTGGCAGGTCCCCTCCAGTCCTGCGACATTTGTTGTGAAGAAGGTCATCTGGCTCAAACCCTTTGCTCTCTTCTACGCCATGTTTTCCTCCTCCATCATCGCCTTCATTCTCTTTTTTTCAAAGACATCTTCTGACGATGTTGAAAAAAGGGGAAAGGAAAGAAATCACTCTCAAAAGAATTACCCTCAAAACATCATCGTTATCGCTTTCACCAGAGCTACACTGAAATCCAACCTATTATTGTCCGTGGTGGACATTGATTGGTCGATCAGTATAGTCCACGACGCATGACGTTTGAAAACATCACGAGTGAGTTCGTACAGACAGAAAACGAGCCAGCTCGAAGGTAAACCGTCTCCGAATTATGTTACGTATATATGGCAAGCCTTCCCGCGAAGCAATAAGAAGGCAGTGAGTGTGTGTGTGTGTCTATCATGTTTAATTAATTATCGACCGTAACCAGCTGACCAATGAAAAGACGTCAGTCTCAGTGCAGTGGAAAACACAAAATACTTGGGACCCTGTAACCGAGCGTCATGGGGGAGTCTACGCTACGCTACTCTCCGGAATAAAGAAAGATACCGTAGCAATAACAGGGGAAAACTGCACGTGCTCGACACGGCTGCTACTACTACTGCTGTAGACTTGTAGTCTAGTACTATTGGATGCGCGTGCGTGGTGCGTTTTGTGTGTGTTCGTCCCATCTATTCTGGCGCCAGTTTACAGGCCTGTCGGCGTACAGTATTATTACCTGGCGTACCAGCTGGGGTCACACAAGAGGACGGTCACACCACTGGCTTGCTCAATTCTTTGGGAAATGCATGTATGTCTACAATACACAGCAGTATACTTTTCCGTGTACCGCACAAACAAAAGGCGCAATTACTTTTTGAATCTCGTGATCCAAATTCGGGCACGCAGGAAACATGTTGGTTCTGCACAGTCACCGTGGTGTATACGGCATCGGAAATTTTTCATTACCCGCTTTTCCGTCCGCAGAGAAAGCAGTGTGGCGTAGTGTGCGTTCGTGGCGGCTGGTGGCAGCATCAGCAACACAGCAGGATCCTTTTTTTTTGTTGCGTCAAATGCAGGTTGTCTTCGAACTCGGGAACGATCCGAGGAACACCGCGCGCGTTGAACGCCACCAAAGAAGTTGTACGGAAATTTCTCGGGGTGCGATATTGCTGCACCAGCCGACAGCAGATCAGATCAAAGAACAGATCAAAGAGGCGAAGAACGAGTCAACTTACGAAAGCCTCCGAGAGGCAATTTGCCAAACACGCAGCAGCGCCAGCAGCGCCAGCACACACAGAGCAAACAAGTGCAAAATACACCGCTATACGCACTACTTTGCGAGCTTCAAGCGGCATAGCTGCGGCCGAAGAGGTGTAAGTGCATGGGTAGTGCGTGCTCGTCGCAGGACGCCAGCCAGGAACCAGGTGGATGGGCGACAACTTCTGGCTACATGATGGGGCAAACCCAATCAGGAAGTGCATCTGCGCGACGCCAAGGCCAGTTCAAGGTGTGTTCCTTTGTCTGTCCTTGTCCAGAAAGTAAGAGGGGGGGGTCGGGTACGCCTTATAGGCCAGTTCAACGTGTGTGCCTCTGTCTGTTTTTGTCCAGCAAGAGCGAGGGGGTCGGGGTGCTGCGGATGAAAGGGCTACTTCAAGTGACCCGCGACCGAGCGCCATGTACCTCCTCCTGAAGCTTTTCGCCTCTGAGAGGCTGGCAGTGATGAACATATGACATAAGCATGCACTTGGGCGTTGAAGCTGTTGTTTCTTCACTTTTGGAACCGAAAAGTTGCATGCACGCGGCCGAGATGAGAGGGAGAAAAAAACGGCTTCTGCAATTTGCAGCAATCGAGAGTTATTTCTCTCACATTTTTAGAAAAAAAATAAACATTACCTCACAGAAAGACTATAGACTACCCGTTTCTCTGCTCTCACATTTCGTTCCTGCCAGTAGAAAAAGCGGCCAGTGCGTGTGTACACAGATCAGTGGGAAGGTGGCTGATACTCTCTTCTCACACTGGCCATTATCAGCCACGCACCGCAGAAGGATGGGAGTGGGGGGCTCAGGGAGAGGAACCTTCTGTGTGACCGAGGTTCAGAGTTCAGGCAAAATGCCCCCGCATAGCAAGCGCCCCAACGAACTCTGGAAATGCTGTGTATGAGGAATTCGGCGCATCTCGAAGCACAGAACGCGCCATCACTTACGGTAAGAACCAGAGGGTACAGCAGTAGGCAGTAAGAACTTGAGCAAACAATCCAAAATCTAAGAAGTTGGCCACAAGAACAGGTGCCCAGTTCCGACGTGGCATTAACAACAAGAACCCGCCCTTATGGTGTACCAGTGCGAATACCGATCAGAACGGAGCCCTAAAACGCGGCGGCTGCAAGATAAGAACTCAGAAAGGTTGGCGGTGACCCGAACAGCACTTTGTTTCAGATTCGAGGCGGGGGGGGGGAGAGGACCTCGTGATAAAATGCTTGTGCGCGCGGAGGGGGAGGGCGTACTCTCTCTCTCTCTCTCATGTTTCCCATGCCTTATCGGTCAGACCATGGGCCACACGTCCTCGAGAGGATGCATAATTGTTCCCACAGGACCGATCACATGGTCAATCGTTCCTTCCTACATCGATTTATTTTGCCAAAGGTGGCTCAAAAATGTTTTACCTACGGTAGCCTATCTATCCTATCGATACCACTTCCCGCCTTTTCAACCCACTTCCTATGATATGCCCCAGTATAGCTACCGTCTTCTCCTGGCTATTGCATGCCTCAAACATCTCCCTGTACCTTTCCTTCTATTTGTCCAACCCAGTCATGTACATTTCTCTGTCCTTGTCACCCGACACGGACGTTTCGCTAAGACGTGAACCCGGTCTTCGCACTCGGAGCCGCATTCACATTTGAACTTGTCGCCTTCATCGCCTTCCTTCCTGAATCTTCGCCAACGTTCTCGAAGGCCGTTGTCCCAGTCCTAAATCTGACCTTGGCTTCATCCATTGGTCCATGTAGGTACCTAGTCCTTCCTTCAACATCCGTACACATCTAGACCCTCTTATCCTTGGATCCTTTTGCTAGATTGTTGTATTCTCTCTCGGCAAAAGCAACAGATATCTTGTTCTCGAACCCCTATAGACCTTCCGTTCGTTTGCAATGTATCAATCTCATCGATTTTGAACTCTTCGATACGCCATCTACAACCTTAAACCACTCCCGGGTTGTTACCTCTTCTTGTTTGTCCACTTCGCCTCCCAAGCTTCTCTCGGCAACCTCTCCTCTCGCATATCGTAATACATGCGGTACTTACTATTACCATTTTAAGTTCCATACGCCTCTTCCCGATCGCAGGAGTTGAATCCGAAGGGGGGGCGTACTCTCTCTCTCTCTCTCTCTCTCTCTCTCTCTCTCTCTATCTCTCTCTCTCTCTCTCATGTTTTGATGCCTTAGCGCTCATACCATTGACCACGCGTCCTCGACAGGACGGAACATTGTTCCCACACGACCGATCACCGATGGCCAATCGTTCCTTCCTACTTTGCCGAAAAGGTGGATCAAAAATGCTGTCCCTAGCCTATCTACTATCCTATGGATATCACTTCCCGCCTTGTCCTATCTATGCCCCAGTACAGCTACCGTCTTCTCCTGGC